GCTGCAAAGGGTGGAAAGACGTCATATTGAACCCTATGGATTAGGAATGGGAGGTCACTTACAGTAAGTTCATAGGTGAGTAAAGGCAGGTGAGCTAATATATTTGGAAATATAGTTCATTTAATGACCGTTGAAAATGACCATTATGACTATTTCCCACACTTATGACCATTGCAGCATTTCCATGGCCACATGATCAAAATTCAGACGCTTGGCAACTGACTCATATTTATGACGATTGCGGTGCCCCAGGATCATGTGATCGCCTGTTGTGACTTTCTGACAAGCACAGTCAATGGGGAAGCCATATTCACTTAACGACCGTGAGTGATGACCTGGGACAAGGCGTGAAGGTCACACAGCCAGCTGAGAGTTCAAACTCCCCTTTAATGCTCCAGATTTCCTCCCAAACACTCCCACGTTCTTGGCAAGCCCTGGAGCAAGTGTCTGGCTGCACCCAGTCCAGCAAAACAAAGGAACAGGGCAACGAGTCCACGAAACAAGGAACAAAAAAAAAAAAGGAGACCACCAAGTAAGGAACAAGTGACTAAGTCCACAAAGTCAGGAACATGGCCCTGAGCCCACAAAGTGAGGAAGAAGCAAGCAGTCCTGCAAACTCCAAATATCTGTGCCGACACACTCAACGCTACCAATTCAGCGTTTGTTCCTGACAAATGGCCCTCCCCCTAGTGCCTCCTTAAATTTCAGTCCCCAGGTGTGCCTTGTGAAGAGGGGCAGGGCACTCTCCTCCCGAGTTTTCGTGTTGGCCTGCGCTGTTCCTGCCTTCTCTCCACTCTTCATGCTCGGGGATCAGGAGGGGGCAATCCTTGCTCATCGTATGAGCTCCGTCGCTCCTCGTGTCCACTGTTTGCCCTCTCTCGGTCATCCTGCCGTTGTTCTTCTCTGATAACAAGCCATCCCAATCTTGAGGGGCCCTGGCCTGCCTCGGCTTGCTCCTCCCCACGTTCTTCCGAAGCCACTCCCTCAATCTCCATCAGCTCCCGCCAGATGGGGCCACGACACCCTGTTACGAATCTAACAATTGCAGGGATTCACTTAGCAAGTATGGCAAGAAAGTGAAGTAAAATGGGCCAAAATTTAACTTAACAGATGTCTCATTTAGCAACAAAAATGTTGGATTCAGTTGTGGTTGTAAGTCAAGGACTACCTATATCAGGGATGGCTGATCTTTGTGGCGCTGAGTGCTGGAAGCATGTGAAAGCGTGCACATGTGCACACCCACAATGCAATGCGTGTACCTCATGCGCCCGCTCCCCTGCACATGTGCGCGTGGCCCCCTGTGTGCACTCCCACTCTCCCCCACACATGTGCATGCATGACCCCTGCCCATGACCTTCCCCTGCACATGCACACATGTTCACCTCATGTGTTCCTACCCGTTTTGCAAGGTTACCTAAAGTATGCATTTTTGCAGAACATTTTGCTAAATGTATATTTCCACATTCCTTTACGAACATGAGCATTTTTGTAGATGTTTCCCCCCCCCCTAATAAATGAGATAATTGTTTTCCTAGTGATTGGAGGATTATAGCATTTGAATGATCTCTACATGTGGATAAAGACATGGTAATCACATGGTTAAAGCATCAATATAACAGCAGGGAAAAGTAGTTATTAAATACCAGCACCACTGGGAAATTGAATAAGTAACTATATCCCTATTCAAGAGTTCTCTTCTCATGTAAACTCCACCCCTCTGTCTTTGTAACAGACAAATGCAAGAATTCTCTCTCTATAGATACGTGCTTTACCCCGAGCTATGGATTTAATTTGTGCAAACATGGATTCAATTAATGGAATTGCATGCATGAAATGCGAGCAGTTACTGTAGAGAACGTCGCTTTGCTACATGCGCTGATACACTTCTAAAAAACGTAGATTTGAAATCAAAGGTATTGATGAATATTAGCATATCCATCTAGAAGTCAGTGCTGTTGGGAGTCTTTAGTTTGGTTACAAAATACTAAATCTTTTTAACACGCAGCATTTCTGCATTGGTGAATATGGTCAACTCAGATGGGACACCTAAAAGTTAAACAGGTTGGTCTTTTTGCACAATACATTTCTCTTTTAGTTGATAAGGATTACTATTTAAAGATCTTCAACTCTATCCCGTTTGTGGAGTTTTGGCATTGAGCGTTTTGCTTATCTGCAATTCTGTTGGCCTGACCGATAGGAATTGTGGGAGAAATTTCTGGGGCTCATATTTGAATACAAAAACAACTTATTTTTTTTATTTTTCTGAGCTAATATGCAAATTGGAGTGCAATTACTTTCTTTTTTTCACCCTAGTTTCATGAATTTTGTGATCAAAAACTGCATACCAACAGGCATATATTAGGTGAAAGTACTAGGAAAAAAAATGTATGATGGAGAAATGAATTCAAAGATGTGTTCTAAATTTGCATGCATATAAGAATGTATACTCATTTTTGTGCCAATTTTAAATATAATTGCAAAATGAAATAGAAATGAACTTCTGCTTAAAGAAGCACAAATATTATGTAGACTTCCCCCAGGAGAAATAGTCAAATAATTGTTTTAACAACAGTCAGCTTGATTATCTTCCTAGCTTTTCCAAATATTTGGCCTCTAATGTACCGCATTGCAGTTTTTTTAAAAAAAATATCTGCCCTCTTTGGTCATAAAATATCAAGTACACATTTAATGTTACAATAGGAGAAAGAAAACAACAACAGCAAAAGAAACAAAAGCGATTTAAAAAACAACAACAATGTTATTTGGGATCCTCCCAGCTGACTTCTGACAAGCAGTCATTGCGGGAAGCTGGATTCGCTTAACAGTTCCATGATTTATTTAACAACTGCAGTGATTTTCTTAACTACCGTGGCAAAAAATGTTATAAAATCGAGTGTGTCCCACTTAACAGCTACCTTGCTTAGCGAGTAGAATTCTGGTCCCAATTGTGGTCGTAGCTGTAATCAAGTGGGCATCAAACAGAGGTGGGTTCCTACCAGTTCGCACCTATTTGGTTGTAAGTTGAGGGCTACTGTATATGTACTTGATTCTTGTACTCTGCAATAGACAGATCTTCTGCATGGGTGGATATGAATTGTTTCCTGTCTGCCATAAAGAAAATTGAGTCTATATTGAGTCAAGTCAATGAGGCTTCTGCTATTAGTTAGTTGCTGAATGTAGAGTTGAGTTCCTGGAAATGGTGAAGTCTGATAATCTCCCATTTTAATATCCCCAGCTGTCTTCTAACTATATGATCCAATCAATCAACTTTTCTGAGTGATCAAATCAATCATCATTACAGCAAAGGACTGGAACAGGCAGGAGCAAAAACAGTGGGCTTATCATTAGTTTCCCAGTATGCACGCCATACATTGAATTATCTTCAACCAGAAGATATCTCTTCCTTTGGGGAAGGCTGTTTCTGTATTGCAATGAGAGAAGCATCGTAAATGTACAACCTGAGCTCATTGGGCTGACAACATTTTCTCTCCAGGCATATAAGGCACCTGCAAGACACTTGGTTGTGCTGTCGTTTAAACCAGGGGCCTCCAATCTTGGCAAATTTAAGCCTGGCAGACTTCAAGTCCCAGAGTGGCTGGGGAATTCTGGTTTTGAAATCCACCAGGCTTAAAGTTACCAAGGTTGGAGGCCCCTGGTTTAAAGGATACCTTTAGAGAATGCAGTTTATTTTCAGATTTCCTGCAGGAACCAGAAGTTATGTTCCTTAATCACGTCAGGTATGTAAAATCTCTGATTTGGAGGATTTTGTTTGATTGCTGTGGCAACGTATTATTTATTTATTTATTATTTATTTATTT